AATTCTTCTTCAGTTAAATTCTTCTTTTTTAAAGTGAAGATCTACGGCTACCTAGCAGTGTATTGGTTCTGAGCGGAGGCCTGCCTTCGACACAGGTGACCCCAGGCCGCAAGGTGGCCACTTCTGACCTACTCGACCTCAGGTGATGGGACCGTTACAAGCCAGCAGCTTTCAAGGGCACACACTGAGGGAACAACCACCACAACTGCCCCCAGAGCTGCGTGTTGTGTGGTTGTTGTGCGGTTCCACTGATAGAACTTTCTGAAAGTAAAAATAACTTTATTTTATTATCACAAAATAATAATCTGTGGTGCCGGAATGATCTTGTCATGTGGTTGCAGGCGTGGTTACAGCTATCTGCCTACGTGATAAAATCCATACGACCCCTTCCACATCCACACCCCCCCCCACCACACATGAAGAATTGGCCAGGGGTGCAGGGGGGTGAGAGGATTCACCAGAGACAGAGTGGGGAGCAGAACAGGCGGATCCACTGAAACACACTGCTGAGGGGAGCAGCGGGGAGACAGGAGAGGTCTGCTGCACCATGTGGGTAGCTCCCTGGCTGGGGCTCAAACCCAGGCCGTGGGGTGACAGCCTGAGACTTAACCCCTAGGCCACCAGGGAGGTCCTCAGGCCCTAGCTTTGAAGCCAAAGAGCTTAGCTTTTTAGAAGGAGCTAGAGCACACCAGCACCTACCTGTGGAGCTGGGAAAATGAGTTGGGACCACGGATGTCCCTGGGAGGAGGGTGGAGGTCACAGTAGCTGAAAAGAAATGGGCCAAAGTGAAGCTGAGGATTCTGAGTGGGTTGGGACTGCCACCGATGCCTCTTTGCTGTGCAGCGCCAGCTACCGAGAGCAATGGGGAGGGTCAGACCACGAGGTCCTTTGCCTTTTTCCCTGGGTCCTAGGGTTCAGGGACTGCTTTGCCGTAGGGGGCCTGGGGCGTGGGGACATCAGACCCCTGGGTACTCACGGCTGGGGGTGGAGGTTGAAGTCCGGCGGGTGTAACCTGGAATGAGGAGAGGACACGGAATTGGGGTGCAGGAAGGGAAGGGACGTGCATGACCCAGCCCAAGGACCATTAGCCCCCAGCCCCAAATTGAAGTTTCAAGCTCATGCAGTTTAATAGTTATGATGTAGAGGTGACTCTGCCTTGTCTCTAAAATACTGGGAAATCAAAGCTTTAGTCACTGTCTCCGTGGGCTTGTCACTGATTTGGGAAGATAAGCGCAGCAGTATTTCTGGATCATGGATTTGCAAACTGTTCTTTTGAAGGTCTAGGGGGACTTTGAGATGTGGGCAGAGGGAAAGATGAATTTGATGGAGCAACTGAGGACTCATTGTCTCCAGCCAGAGGGGGGGGGTCTCTCTAGTCCAAGTACACAAACCCCAGCCCTGGGCCGCAGTCTGTGAAGAGAAGAGAGGAGTTTGGGAACTCGAGGGCCTCTAGGGATCCTGGAGGGAAAGAGTTGTGGCAGGTAGATGCAGGTGTAAGTGCGGTGAGGTGGAAGAAAGGGAATCTGGTTTGGAATATTGGTGACAGCTGGAAACGTGGCGGGATTGTGGAAAAGAAGGGACTTGGAGGTCAGATGAAGAGTATGAGCCTGAAAGGGTTGGGGGAGAGAGAACTCTTCCCAGACGTCTCCCTGGGTCATGGATCACGCCTCTGTGGTGCCCCCTGAGAGATGCGGGAGGATTGACCGAGAGGAGTCCATGACTGATGTGGGCTTTTCCTGAGTGACCTCATTGGGTTATCAGGACAACCCTGTGTGTTGATCTGTGCCCCCTATTCTACAGAGATGGCAACAAAGCTCAGCAGGGTCACGTGGCTTGTCCACACACAGCACGGAGAGTGGTCACTCACCGCTTTACATTAATCTAAACTAGTGACCACTGCTTTCCGCTAGTCCCAATCCCGGAATCATGCTTTCCACGGACAAAGCACAGGATGTGCTATTACTAATAAAAAAGCTATATTTAAGCCTAGGAATGGAAAGGTATTTCCAAGGTGATGTAGCAGGGAAATGACTAATTGAGACTTTTAGATTAAAGGTCTTTAGTGCCCCTTCCTGTGATGAGAACTGAGGTTTTCTTGAGGTGGCTGGTCAGAGTGTTACCTGGCGGTTCTGGAGTCTAGACTCAGTTTGGGTTTTGAGTCTTGATTCCAACATATGTGACGACTGGATCATTGTGGGCAAATGTCTTCCTGTCTGAAAGGATGAGGTCTCTCTCTACAGACGAATGTCATAGCTCCCAGGATTTGGGGTAAGATTAATACAAAATAATGCAAATAAAGACCTTCCTGGCACCTAAGGCCTTGATGATCAGAATCAGCCCCATAACCGCGGTTACTCTTGGTGGTAGCATGGCTGTCAGGGCACTGCCAGCAGGGGGCGCTGCCCAGCGTGCACCCAGGGGTGTGTGCTAAGTGGTGCTGCCTCCTGTGGAAGGTGTGGTCTGGCTGGCTTGTTGGAAACCTAGAAAATTGCCTTAGGCTGTCATGAAGAGGGAAATGGAATGGAATCAGGGTAGAACCATGACACCAAAGTCTATCAGGCAGGACTTAGCCACCTGCTTCTCTCTCTAGAGGGCCCACGCTCTAGCTGGGCTTCTGTGAGAACAGAGGGAATCAGCTGGAGGCATTTCATCCAGGAGATAAGAGGGGAATGGAGAAAGGGGCGACACACCTCCCGTGGTGTGCTAAGAATTTCCAAATGAGCCCTCAAGGAATTTCCAAATGAGCCCTAGAGGAAACACTGGGCTTGTATTTGAGCCAGGAGTCTGTCTCAAGCAGTGTCACTGACAATTGGCTCCCGTGGGGAAGGTCTGCCATGCCCTGTGCAATGCTGAGCAGCTGCCCTGGCCTCTAGCCGCTAGATGTCACTCGCATCCCTCCCTTTAGGACATGAAAAATGTCTCGGGGCATCGCCCAATGTCCCCTGGGCTGGAAAAGCGCTCTCAGCTGAGAAGTGCGGGTACAGAGACAAGGGGCCCCAGCTGCGCCGTGCACACTCACCATCGACACAGAGACTGTCCCTGTCCAGGGTGTAGATGCCCAGCTGGGTGACGCCGTGGGTCAACTGGCTCAGCTCCTCATACAGCTCTTCTCGATCCAGTCCCGGGAGCGTGGGGTCAGTGTGGTAGGAGCAGATGGTGTCCACCCCTGTCGCTGCCCCGTCCTTCTCAGGCCTGAGGAGGCAGGGATATGGGCACGCAATCCAGGACACATGGCTGCTTTCTCTATACTTCTTGAGGCCCTTCTTCAGGTCAACCGCCCCTCGCTTCTGTGACATTTCTTTCACTGCGTGTCACCTGCTTCCTCAGTCACGCTCGCACCCAGGGCCCTTCCCAGCCCACGAACTGGTGACCTCCAGCCCTCAACCTCAGCTTCTATTCTTTTGTCCTCTTTTCTTCCTGGGTCACTTGCTTCTTGTTCTTTGAATCAACCACTAATTTTATTATCACGAAATCCAAGGCCTCTCTTGTGAGCTTCGGCCACATAACCAGCAGCCTGAGGGATGTCCTCCATGTACCTCAAATAAGCTTCTCTCTCCCCTGAAAGCACAGAACCCACGCTTCTCCCATGTCACGTGTCAAAGCAAAAAGAGGAGGAGGCCACATGGACACTCTGCCTTTCTTTCTCCCCCAGTCAAGCAATATTCCGGTCTAGGCCAACCTCTTGCTGGTCTCCCCATTACTTCAAACTTTCCATCCCCCCATTTATTGGAGCCCTACTCAGAACAAATCACATACTGCCAGGGTCTGGTTCCAACTCCAGGGTTTCCCTGCAGCGCAGAAATTATTCTGTAATTATTCTGTAATTATGATTACATAATTAATATTCATGGAGCATCTACCACGTGTACCAGGGGTCTCTTTCACTTTGGCTCTTTCGTTACCTTTTCAGCAACTCTGCACGACAGGTGCTGGCAGAATCCCCACCCAGCCGAGGAAACAAATCACTTACATGGTAAAGAACTTCCCAAACATCACATAGCAAGTGACAAAGACAGGATGTGATTTCATGAATTTTGACACTGGGATTTTTAAGCTTTTGTCGTGCAAAACCCTATGAAGACTCCTCAGTGTGGCCTTAGTCACCAACTCCAGCATGAACCACGGATGACATCACTATTCCATTCATCTGCCTTCCATGCAAACACCCTACTGTGTCTCCCATGCAAACACCCTACTGTGCACCCTCCCACACTGAAGCAGTTCTCCAGTTCATCCCCCTCCCTCCCCCATTGTCTCCCCTCGGTTCCTTCCTTCCTGCTTTCCTCTCTCCAGCCCTCTTTATTTTTTCTTTCATTCATTGATTCCTTCAACTGTCACTCTTACAAAGAACTTCCCTTGCATTCTTGGGCTGTTTCCTCTGTTCCCGACTTCGATGTGCCACCTGGTGGATGGAGGCTGGCACGGTGGCGGGTGGAGTGAGGTGGACACTGAGTGAGGGAGCATGAGCCCGGAGCCTGCACAGTGCTGCCAGCTAATGTTCTCTCAACACACAGACAAAGAAAAAGAAGATCCCGCGCCCTGACGCACCCTTGCCAACGCTCCTGTGGCTCACGCACACGCGACTGTCAGAATGAGGCCCGGCATCCCCCCTCCAGACAGCGCCGCTCTCGCCGCTCCTGTGGGCTCCGGACAGCGCTCTCTCATTGTGTCAGGGGCTTGTGCTGACATGGGGCCGCTGCTCTCTACGCTGAGGCAGCTGGAGGGAGGGCCCAAGACTGGTCCTCTCAGCACCTCACTCCCGTCACAGGTGTGGCCAGGCTTCACTTCACATCCCTAATGTGTCAAAGCCGGCCTTTCCAGCTGGCGGCACGAAGAGTCTACAGCTCTGCTCGTCCAGATCACTTAAGGTTGTGGACAGACACCCCCTCCAGGAAGCCGCCTGGCGTGCTCAGCCAGGGCAGCCTCCTTCTGCTTCTGAATTCCTACAAGTGTCCAGTAACCTACGACTTGTTTCCAGCTGTCACCTAGAGCCCCCTCTGAGAGCCGGGGGTGCCAGGGAACCTCTTTGTGTTGTAAGGAAAGGAAGCCTCACCTGAGGCGGGACAGTCTGCAGCCGGAGTCCAGGGGGCCCACGCTGGTGTTCTTGAACAAGGGCCCGAGCTGTGGGAGGGAGAGGGCGGTGAGCGGAGGGGCTGGGGGTGAGGACAAGGCATAGGGATAGGCGTCCACGGGCTCTCACCAGGAGATTGAGGGTCTTCTCGGTGGAGTTGAACTTTGCAGAGCCTGGGTGCTCCATGTCTGCGGTACAGAGCAGGTTGGTGATGGTGAAGTTGAGTGTAAATGGAACCAGAGCTGGGCCAGCACCTGCAGCTGGGAGGTGGGGGGAGAGAGGGCGAGAGGTCATCGCAGTCTCCAGTTTGCAGTGCGCGTGTGCGGGAGGCCACGGCCAGCTCCTGTCCACAGGGTGGAGCAGTGAAATTTGGGACAGACCGACTGGGGTGTCCTCCCTCCTCAGCTGGCCAGAGGAGAAGAGTCCTCTGCAGTAGATTGTGACTGCAGTTCCAAAGGGAACCTTCAAAGCCCTTTCAGCTTGGAGTGGCCAAAGTCTGACAAGTTGCGGACATTTTGGTGGGAAGAAGAGAGACCAAGAACTTTTTTGTTCAGACTCGGGACACAAATACTCGAGCCGTCAAGAAACCCAAATAGCAATAATTTTCCTGAAGGAAATGATCGTGGAGCTAGAATAGCGACTGGTTATTTGTGGGATGTGGGGAATGTTAGTCTCCGGAGGTTGCCTGGATAAGAGCATGTTAAGCTGAAATTCGGACAAGAAAGAACCAGGCTTGGCTGAGTTCAGAGAGTGGTAAGTGCAAAGGCCCTAGGGTTGAAAGTGTGTTTGGGTCCTGGAAACTGTGTACAAGGCTGGTGTGGCCAGAGACTAGGGAGCAAAGACAAGCGAGGGGCAGTTTGGGTCTGGTGGGCATCAGGACCCAGGCCCTGAGGAATTCATCAGTCACAGGAGGGACTTGGAGGTTAAGAGTTAGAGATTTAGAGATTAGTTCCTACCTGTAGAGCTGGGGATGGTCAGCGATGCTGAGGGTCCTGGAGCAGAGGTGGGGGTCACCAGAGCTAAAAGAAAACAGCATGAGCAGATGTTGTTCATTCATGCTAAGTGTGAAGATTCAGCGTTAATGGGCACTTGAGTCTAACTCAGCTTAGAAGGAGACTTCGGGCATTCTGGGGTGCTCTGGGCCTGAGAACCTTGGGGATGAGGGTGCTGTCCTTCTTGGGGACATACTTAGTGAGGAAGAGTTCCAAGGGCTAGGGACATCTGGGTGTCATTACTCACTGCTAGAGGTGGGGGTAGGGGGGTAGGGAGGAGGTTAAGAAAGGGCTGGGGGTAGAACTAGCGCACAGCCTTCCTAAGTGCCTTCTCTGAGGTTATCGGTAAATAACAATTATTCTTGCACTGTGGCACGCGGCAGTTCCTGCAACTCTGTCTTAGGGAAGTTAACAGGCCAGAGAGCAATGATTGATGGAATTTAGTGGATTAATACCCCAGCTCCCCCCACCCCCAGATGGGAGGCCCCCAAGGTGTGTGCTTAAGCATCCTCTGGGGGTCCCCTCCAGCCTGTGAGATCACGAGATGACACATTTCCATTGTTTCTGTGGTCACCGGCCTGTGGGACTTCGGCGGCCCTGGCAAACCAATATGCTAAATAAGGCAGCAATTCCTGGTCTAGGTGTCCACACAAGTGCCTGCGAAGAAGGGGACGCGGACAGGCACTTGTGCACCCTGTTCACTGCAGCATTGTTCAAAATAATCAAAAGGTGGAAACATCCCCAGAGCTTAGGGAGAGGTGGCGACTGAAGCGCGGCCTGTCCTGCAGGGCGGGGCCCCTCGCCCACGGGCAGAGCAGGGCTGGCGCACGGCCAGCGCGGGCAGACCCTGGGGACGCTACGCTAAGTGGAATAAGCCAGACACGGAAGGATAAATGCTTAGGAGTCCACGTGCATGAAATATCTACAATCGGCACGCTGACGGAGCCAGGGGCAGAGCAGAGCTTAGCGGGGCCCGGAGGGCGGGAGAGGGGTGATCGCCTCTGTCATGGAGACACAGGTCTTGCTTGGGGGGATAAAAATGCTGTGGGAGCAGAGAGTGGCAACAGGTACCCCACAGTGTGGATGGAATGAGTGCTGCTGAGCTGCACATTTAAAATAAAAATATACATGTATCATATGCACGTAATATCTATCCCTATGCCTCTCTCCCTCCCTCCCCCGCCTCGCCTCTCTGTGTGTGTATAGAGAGAGTTATTCTTACTTGTTCCTGAAGTCGCACTCACAGAGGCCAGGGTCGAGGTCTCGGGAGTGGCCAGGGGGGCGAGAGGCCTTCCAGGCAGGGCACTGGAGGTGCTTGTGGTCCTGGCCGTGGTGGAGCCTGACCTCACGGTAGCCACATTAGTGGTCTCGAGAGTTGTGGCTTTCAGCAGGGTGGTTGGATTCGGCCCTCCTCCGTGACTGGTTTTCGGAGGTGTTGGGGTCTCTGATGCTGTCAAGGCCACAGTGTGCCCCTCAACTGTCGTGGAAAACTCTGGAGGCCCAACTGAGCTCCCGGGGGGTGAGGTTTCTGCACCCTGGGAAGTTCCAGTACGAGGTGCGCTGGCTGTTATGGGGGTGCCTGCCGGTGTGAGCACCCCAGGGGGAGTGGTCAGAATCGCTTGGCTTGTGCTGGCCTCTGCTGAACCCGGAGAAAGGGTTGGAGTTGAAATCGCTGAGCTGACCTCTGTCCCAGGCTGTGGGGAGAGAGGGGCCGCTTCTGCAGGACGGCCAGCTGAGACCGCCGGGCTTATGCTGGCTCTGCTGGTCTCAGTCACAAGCGTGGGGATGAGAGAGGCCGTTGTTTCCGGCTCACCAAAGGAGACAGTCGGAGTTGGAAGTGCTGTCCGAGCCTCCGACATGGGCCAGGCGGACAGTGAGGTTGTGGTCTCCGGTAAGTAAGGAGCAGCCGTGGAGGCAGGAGAGGATGTGCCTGTCTCTGCACTGGAGGGGGTGGTCAACAAGCCTGTGGTCTCTGGTCCAGCAGAAGAGAGGGTCCACACTGTCACCGTGGCACTGGCCTGCGTCCAAGGACCAGCGGCCGGCGAGGTGGCCGCATGTGGTGTGCCAGCTGACACGGCTGCTGCCCCAAGGCTGGTGGTCGCTGGGGCCGAGGTCTCTGATTCACTCTGGGGACCACCAGGTGTTGGTCTAGACTCTGCAGGGGTGGTGGCCCAGGAAACTGCTGGACCTGGCACTCCAGAGGAAGTGACCAGCATTGGAACAGCTGTCTCGGGATGGGCAGCCCACGAGGCTGTGGTCTCTAGAGCATAGGAGGAATTGCTCAGAGCTAGAAAAGACGTGTTGGTCTCTGCTGTGGTGCTAGTGACTGGCGAGGTGGTAGTGCCTGGCGAAGTGCTAGTGACTAGCGAGGTGCTAGTGACTGCTGTGGCGCTAGTGACTGGTGAGGTGGTAGTGACTGCTGTGGCACTAGTGACCAGTGAGGCACCAGTGACTGGTGAGGTGGTAGTGACCGGCGAGGTGCTAGTGACCACTGTGGCACTAGTGACTGGCAAGGTGGTAATGACTGGTGAGGTGGCAGTGACCAGCGAGGTGGTAGTGACCGGCGAAGTGCTAGTGACTGGTGATATGGTAGTGACCGGCGAGGTGCTAGTGACAGGCGAGGTGCTAGTGACCACTGTGGCACTAGTGCCTGGAGAGGTGGTAATGACCAGTGAGGTGCCAGTGACTGGTGAGGTGGTAGTGACCAGTGAGGTGTTAGTGATCGGCAAAGTGCTTGTTACCGGTGAGGTGGTAGTGACCGGTGAGATGCCAGTGACCAGTGAGGTGGTAGTGACTGGTGAGGTGCCAGTGACTGGTGAGGTGGCAGTGACTGGTGAGGTGCCAGTGACTGGTGATGTGCTAGTGACCACTGTGGCACTAGAGACTGGTGAGTTGGTAGTGACTGGTAAGGTGCCAGTGATTGGTGAGGTGGTAATGACTGGTGGGGTGCCAGTGACCGGTGAGGTGGTAGTGACCAGGGAGGTGCTAGTGACTGGCGAAGTGCTAGTGACAGGTGAGATGGTAGGGACCGGTGAGGTGCCAGTGACCAGTGAGCTGGTAGTGACCAGAGAGGTGCTAGTGACCACTGGGGCACTAGTGACCAGTGAGGTGGTAGGGACTGGTGAGGTGCCAGTGACCAGTGAGGCAGTAGTGACTGGTGAGGTGCCAGTGACTGGTGAGGTGGTAGTGACCAGTGAGGCACCAGTGACTGGTGAGGTGGTAGTGACTGGTGAGGTGCTAGTGACTGGTGAGGTGGTAGTGACCAGTGAGGTGCTAATGACCTCTGGGGCACTAGTGACCAGTGAGGCACCAGTGACTGGTGAGGTGGTAGTGACTGGTGAGGTGCTAGTGACTGGTGAGGTGGTAGTGACCAGTGAGGTGCTAATGACCTCTGGGGCACTAGTGACCAGTGAGGTGCCAGTGACTGGTGAGATGCCAGTGACCAGTGAGGTGCCAGTGACTGGTGACGTGCTAGTGACCGGTGAGGTGCCAGTGACTGGTGAGGCACCAGTGACCAGTGAGGTGCTACTGACTGGTGAGGTGGTAGTGATTGATGAGGTGCCAGTGACTGGTGAGGTGCTAATGACCAGTGAGGTCACACGAGGGATGACAGCTGTACTTGGAATGGCTGAAGTGACTTCTGTTGAGAATGTGGTTTCTGATTCCCCGGGAGAAAAATTCCAAGTTGTTCTAGAAACAGGTGTGCTGGTCTCTGCAGAATGGGTGACCCATGAGACTCCTGTATCTGGCTCAGCTGTGGACACAGTTGGAGCTAAAACAGAAAAACTAATTTCTGTTCCAGAATGGGTGACCCATGATGCTGTGGTCTCAGGTTCACGTGACAAGGCAGTCAGAGTTGGGAAGTTTGTACTGTTCTCTGCCCCAGAACTGGTGAGCAGGGAGGTCCCCAGTCCTTGCATGGTTGAGGACACAGCTAGAGTTGAAATGGTTGAGCTGAGCTGCACCCCAGGATGCGGAGCCACTAAGGCTGTGGTCGCTGTCTTTCCAGGAGCAAGAGGGAGAGTTGGCACAGCCGTACTGACAACTGTCTCAGAGCTAGTGACCTGTGAGGTTACTGTATCTGGTAAAACGGGGGGAACAGTCAGAGTAGGAAGAGCAGAACTGGCTTCCACCCCAGGGTGGGTAACTGTCAAGGGGGTGCTTCCTGACTCACTGTGGGAGGCACTGGGGTTTGTCCCGGGAACCGTTGGGCTGGTCTCTGTAGAACGGGTGGCCCACGAAGCTGTTGTGTCTGGCTCCCCTGAGGAGACAGTCGGAGTCGGGACACTGTGACTGACTTCTGTCCCAGAATGGCCCACCCCTGGGGTTGTTGGCTCTGGTTTGTGTGAGGACACAGTCAGAGTTGGAAAACTTGAAGTGGTCTCTGCCCTAGAACTGGTGATGGGTGACACGCCTGGTACAGTGGGGGAGCCCATTAGTGTGGGGGTGGCCGAGCTGGGCTGAGCCTTGGAGTGGGTGAGCCACGTGGCTGTGGCTGCTGGTTCTCTAGGAGAAAGAGTCAGGGTTGGCACCACTGTGCTGGTGTCTGCCCCAGGGCTCACGGCCTGCGAAGTCACCATGGCAGGCACACCAGGGGAGACAGGCGTGGTCAGAATAGCTGAGCTAGCTTCCGTCCCGAGGCTGGTGACTGCTGAGGGTGAGCTCTCTGCTTCATGATGGAACAAGTCAGGGTTTGTCCCAGGGACTGTGGGGCTAGACTCTGCAGGACGAGTGTGCAAGGAAGCTGTTGTCTCTGATTCATGCAGGGACTCAGTCAGAGCTGACAGAGGGTTGCTGGAACCCGTCCCATAACTAGCGACGACTGAGGTCACCACTGCTGGCACGCTGGTGGAACTGGCTTCCTCTCCAGGACTGGTGGCTACTGAAGATGTGGTGTCCAATTTGGTACTGGAAACACTTGGGATTGTTCTGGAAACAGGAGTGCTGGGCTTTGCAGAATATACCCATGAGGCTGTTGTATCTGACTCACTTGGGGACTCGGTCAGAGTCATGAGAGTTGCACTGGTCTTCTCTGCCCCAGAACCGGTGGCCAGTGACATGTCCACCCCTGATATACCAGATGAAAAAGTCAGTGTTTGAACAGCTGGGCTAGTCTCTGCCCTCTGTCTGGTATCTGGGGAAGTGGCCAGTCCTAGGACACCAGGGGAAGCAGCTGCAGATGGAATGGACGAGCTACTCTGTGGACCAGGAAAGGGAACCTGTGGGGCCGAGGTCTCTGGCTGACCCAGGGCATCGGTCAGTGCTGGAGTAACTGCACTTGTCTCTGCTCCAGGACTGGGAACCCATGAGTTCTCTGTCCCTGGCAGACCAGGAGAAACCGTTGGAATTGAAACCGCTGAAGTGGCCTCTCCCCTAGTGGCAACCTCTGTTGGGAATGTGCTGCCTGATTTACCATGGGAAACATTCGGGGTTGCCCTAGAAGCAGTGAGGGCTGTCCCTGTAGCATGGGTGACCCTGGAGGTTGAAGCTTTGGGCTCTCCAAAGGACACAGTGGGAGCGCGGACAGCGGCACTGGTCTCTGTCTCAGAAGCGGAGACTGGTGAGGGTGTGGTCTCTGGTCCTTGACTGGAGACAAATGGGGTTGTCCCGGCACCTGCTGTGCTAGTTCCTGCACCAGGTTCAGTAGCCACCAAGGCTGTCATATCTTGACCATCAGGGGACGCACTTGTGGTGGTGATGACCATTCCTGGTGGACTCATGCCGGCTGTATGATCTGATGTTCCCAGGAGGGTCAGCATCCCGGGAGAGGAAGCAGCGGTTGCTGTGGAGGTGGTTTCCAGGGCTGTGACCGTGGTTTCGACCCTCTCTGTCCCTCCTGTAGGTAGTCCTGTGAATTGCAGACAGGCATACAGTTTAGACACAATGATGGCCTCTTACTGGACTGGCGATAGCTTATTTTTTTCCTCCTATGAGGAAAGGGAGAGAAATATCTGTTATTGCTGCTTAGAACATGCTTGGGTTGCTTCTGGAAAAGGAAAGAAAGTATGATAGGTTTTCCCCTACCTTTCTTGTCTCATCTTGAGCTGAAAATTTTCATTAATTCTTGATCACCCTTTATCCCCAAATGTGTTCTCCAGGCCCTGAACATTTGTTCAAATTGTCTTCTCAGCCCGCCATGCTTATTTCTCATTATTTCCTTTTATTCTACTCTTCTTCAACCCTAGCTCAAATCTACCTTTACAAATCCATGTCAGAATTCATTTCTGAATTCTCAAATTTCCTTATCATATATTGTACAACCCCTCACAGACTACTTGGTAATGTCTAGTAATGTCTGGCTGCTTGGCATACAGTAGGTACCCAACAAATATTTGTTGAATATAATTTAATGATGTAAGAATGAATTAATAAATGAATACATGGGTGGAATCCTAAAGCTTCATTAGTAACTAATAGAGTATATTAATTTCCTAATTAATTTCAGGATCTCAATGGGGCCAGGATGAAACGGGAAAGATATAAGGAGAAAATGTCCTTCTGGGAGTCTTAACGAGGATTCTCTAGCTCAGTAGTTCTCAACCTGGGACATCTTTGTTCACAGGGGACGTTGGGAACTGTCAGGAGGTAGTTTTGATTGTCACAACTATGTACATATGGAAGGTGCTACAGGCATCTAGTAAAGAGAGGCCAGGAATGTTACTGGGGATCCTACAATGCACAAATAATTGCCTGCCCCAAATTGTCGAAAGTGCTAAGGTTGAAAAATTCTGTTCTGTATTGAAAAGAGTCAGTGAATACTATTGACTATGCCTCACAAACTTTGCCATAGAAATATTGTTTATCACCTGAAGTCCAGTGACCCATTTCCTTGTGACCTGATAGATCCAACCATGTCAGTGTCCCATTAATATCTCCTTCAGCACTCACTGTTGCTGCAGCACCAATGGGGCTCTAAGGCAGTCTCTAGGATGCCACCCCTAGGTGTGTATGGGGCAGGCCAGAAGTGCTGAGTACTATCATCTCTAGAAGCAAGTAACCCACTGACAACGATGAAGGGAGTTACATGATGCATACCCCAGCCACTTTGCTTTTTGAGGGGTTCTATGCTATCTCCCAGAGGTTCCCAGTGGGATTGATACTCTGTTTCCCACCTGTTCATGAATGCACCTGGACAGAACTAACAAAGTGATTGGGGAATCACTGTTCAAAACCTAGATGTTGAAAAAAGCCTCCAAAATGTACTGGCAAATAGCCTGATGGCTAAAAGTCTTGGAAATAACAGAATGAATATGGATAACTTTCTCTTTTAGCCATACAGTGAGGAAGATCCCCTGCTATTTACACATGCACCTCTTAAACTCTCAGGCAGAGTAATGATTCTGTGAAAAGTTAGGGTGCCTTTCAGAGGAAAAGATTATGCAGTGAACTATTGTGTAAGCCCCAGATTAAATGAAGGTAAACAAGTTCCTTGATTGCAGTAAAAAGGGTAAAATGCCTAGGAATAAACTTAACTGAGGAGATGAGGGACCTGTATATAGAAAGCTGTAAGACATTGTTAAAAGAAATTGAAGACACAAGGAAATGGAAAGGAATTTTATGCTGATGGATTGGAAATATCAATATTGTCAAGATGGCCATTCTACCTAAAGCAATATATAGATTCATTGCAATCTCTATTAAGATCTCAATGGCATTCTTTACAGAAATAGAACAAAACTGCTAAAAGTTTATATGGAATCATAAAGACCTCAAATAGCCAAAAAATACTGAGAAACAAGAACAAAAATGGCAGTATTTTGCTCCTTGACTTCAAATTATACTACAAGGCTACAATAATCAAAACAGTATGGTATCAGGATAAAAAGACACAAATATCAATGAAATAGAATTGAGAGCCCAGAAATAAGACCATCCATATATGGGCAACTAATTTATTAGACAGGAGTCAAAAATATAATGTAGAAAGTATCTTCAATAAACGGTGCTGGGAAAACTTTATTCTTTTCCTTCACTCTCTCTCTCCTACTGGACTGAGAATTTGATAACCACAATACCTAAGTATCTTAATCTGTAATCTTCCATTTGTCGCTAGTCTCTAACACACATAAGATATTAACAAATACATAAAATTTTCAGAAATATATTAATCTGGGTTTGTGAATTTGTGAATTTGACAGATCCAAGCTGAACTAAACTCATGCTGAAAGTTATGAAGGAAAGAAAAGTGATAATATCTACCTGGAAACCATTGGACAAAGATCCAGATTAAGACATGCAAGCCCACAGCAACCCCACAGAACTCTTATTTTAAAGAAACAAATATTTCATCTCATTGGAACATGAAACGCCACCAGAGGGATTACTAGAAAGTAAGCAAAGTTGAACGTACCTCTAAGACTAGCCGATAATGTGGATTCCAGGACATGAGATGGTTCTGTGGTGCCTCCATGTGCTGCTTCATTAGGTGACTCTGTGAAGTGCTCAGTGACGCCATCAGTTCCTGCAGGTGAGGGTAAGGAAGGAACCTGGGGTAACTTATCCCATCCAGAAAGTGAGCACTGTCTAAGTGGAGCCACCTACTTGAATGTGCAGCTCAACTCCATCAGTATGAAGTCAGGGCTGTGGGTCATGAGTGATGCACCCATCTACCCAAAGATTCAACCATTTTTCCTTCCTTCCATCCTTACACCTACCACTTTATTTTTCCATCCTTCTACTCATCTTTCTAAGCTTTCTTTCTGCCATGCATCCTTTTTTATTTCCTTTCAACATTTCATCATTCTTTCCTTTAATCTTTACTTTCTTCAATCCCTTTCTAGCTTCCCTTCCTTCCATTCATCTATTATTCATTTTTCCTTCCTTCTAAACATCCAACCTTTCTTCTTTCATTTTTTTTCTCTCTCCATTCTTTCTTTACCCTTGCATCCTTCCAAGCACACTTTCACATTCTTACCATTCCACATATTACTTGCTTATAGAACACCTATGACCAAACCACTGAGCCATGTTTAAGACATCGGTCAACAGTCACCAGTATGTCTAACTTTACTGTGAATTGCTAAAACAAGTTTTACAGGTAATCAAGTCATCTTCCTTTACAGTGCACTACAGAGTATTTAGAGGGCCTCTTTAAACTCATGTCCAGAACAAAAAGTAAGCCCAAATTAACGTTTTCAGAGTAACTGAGTCCCTAAGAGTTTCTCTCCTTCATTAACTTAACTTTTGGAAATGGTGTTTCTCCTTCTAGGCCCTGGCCTAGAAGTTACACTGTTCCAGAGTTACACTGTTCTCTCAATTTTCAATTACTCACCTATTTATTTCATCTTTCACTTGCTTTAACTCTGTTCTTTAACATAAAAACATGCTCACTCAAAGAGGAATTCCTCCCTTGTAGTTATGTATTACTTTAGCTGCAGTTCCAGTTTTCTATAACTCATGGATGTCCAAGAATTCCCAGGGACCTACATGTTGTCAAAGAACTTCTCACCTCATTTCAGTTTGGCTATCCTTTTGAAGATGACAGAACTGACCTCGCCTTCCTTCCTAAAACTCTCTCCATTGCGACTTCCATGATGCCGGAATCTTTTGCTTTTCCTTCTACATCTCTGATCATTCCTACCTAGGCTACTTGCTAAAAGCGTAGATTCCAGGTGCTGCATAATCTTGGTTCTTATCACTTACCATCTTTGTGATCTTGAGAAATTACTTAACCTCTCTGTGCGTGAGTTTATTTTCTGTAAAATGGACTTATAATAGACCCTTCTTGAAATTGTATCTCAATGAGGATTAAAAATTTAATAGAACTCTGGTTAACAGAAAAAATGCTATATACACATCATTATTATTATTATCATCAGCATTAATAGTACTTCTAGAACATCTATCATGGTACTATAGTTATTCAGACACTTGCCTATTTATATTTGTTTCCCCAATATCAGCCTCAAACTGAGGATATATCAATGTTTGCTAAAAGAACTTCTGGTGTGTTATAATGTCCTAACTCCTTTCCACCTTTTAGGAAAAAAGGGTATTTTCTATAAGCCTCAAATAATGGAAGTATAGGAGCTGTGAGTCCTTACTTGTCAACTGTGTTGAGTTTGGAAGAACTTGAGAAACACTTGTCACTGTTCCCACGTCAATACTCTCCGTCATTCCAGTATCCATAACGGTTGATAAGTGTGTCCTGAATGGCTTGGTCAAAGTCTCCAAAGTAGAGACTGTAACTGAGGGTCTTCCAGTAGTAATGGTCTCTGCCTCAAGGTTGGTATCCATTATAAGTGGGGTACTTGGTGAAGAAGTCTCACGGAAGGCTGGGACAACTGAAGAGTCAATGCTACTGAAGCTTGGCGAGGAGAATGATGTTGAACCCGATGAAGGTAGGATTTCTGAAATGGTAATTTCCCCAGATCCTGATTCTGTGCTGGAAAATGGACTATCTGAGAATGCAGCTGAACTGGCACCTGAAATGCCAGTAGTAGCCAAGGAACTCACGGCCTCTGACAGAGCAGTGTTCAATGTGTCAACCAAAGTAGGTCCAGGTGAAGACAGAATGACTTTGCTCGGGCTATGAGTACTTTCTGGTACAGGCACCGAATGCTCAGGTTTTGAAAAGGGGGTTGCAAGACCAGACTCTGTTACTGAATGAGAAACATAAAAGTGGGTTTCCAGAGAAATTTCAGTATTCTGTGAAGAAGAAGGCTGGTCTGATACTAATATTTTCCCAGAAGAGGTGGCATCAGTCTTAAGGCGTTGGAAAAGATAAGTGGACAGAGGAGATGAAGGTGCGTTTGTGGAGGTGGATAAGCTGGAGTCCAGATTTACACTTGTTTCCCTTGGTTCAAGAGTCAGATAAGAAAGTGACTCTGTCTCAAGAGTTGTGGTCTCAAGGGAGGCAGGTATTGATGTGGAAACAGTGGTCACCTCCACTGAAGAGGCAGTGCCTATTGGGTATGGGGTAAAGGAAAGTTGTTCATATCCAGAACTGGTGGTTTCCACAGAGGCTACAGCTGGGAACGTGGGAACATGAACACTCCCTGTACTTGTGGAAGCTTCAGATGAAATCAGACTCTTAACAGTGGAGATGCTCATATCTGGAGATAAACTGGAACCAGTTCCCAAACTTGTACCCAACACGTCTGAGAGCTTCCCAAGGCCAGAGGTGATAAGCAAGGTTTCTGGAGATGAGAAGAAAGGGCTATCATTTGATGTTGTTGGAGAAACAGAAGAATGTGTAGTACCAGGAGATAAAAGGACAGAGGAAGTAGTTTCCTCAAAAGAAACAGGGGTTGTCCATGAGAAAACATGAAGACCACTACTCGTGTGAGGGGTCATCTCTGAGAGTGGAAAACTCTGAGTCTCAGCTAAGTGAGTACCTTCATGGGCAGCTGTGGTCAATGTGTCCATGTCCAGTTTAGCCTGTGATATAGACAAAGGGGAACCTGCTGGGGAAGTAGTGGTAAGATCTCCTGGTAATTCCACACTGTGAGAGGTGGATAGTCTGGTGACAATTCCTGTAGGGATGGCTGGTGACATTGTGGACTGAGTGGAGTCCATAACGTTGCCAGTGGTGATGATTTCTGTCCTGACCTTCTCACTAGGAGTCCCAGTGGGCACTTCTGAAAGGTCTATACTCTGCTGTGTGGTTGATCTGGTCTGCTTGGAGCTGCTGGTCTCCTCCACGCTACCCAAGAAAGATGTTGACTGTGTCTCAATCTTCGCGGTTTCTGGAGAGTCAGACATTAATATGGGAACTGTACCATCCCTACTATTGAAAGATGTTGCCATTGCAAGAGTACCAGTCACTGGCTCAAAATGAGCTGAGGCAGAAGAAAGAGTGTCATGTCCAGGAGTGGAGATCCCTACACTGGTCTCAGCTGTATTTTTAGAGATGTGAGTTGCCTGTGTATTTGTGGAGGCGTCAGTAGTAGTCAGTCTCTGCACTGTGCTGCTGCTGAAATGTGGAAGTGAACTACTTATAGGGAGTATGCTTGTGTTGATCATGCCTGTGGTCTTCTCAGAACTGGGAGTGAGAATTGAGGTCACAGCAGTAGGGAAGGAAGTGTCACTCTCTGGTGATGTGGTAGAAATGGAAAAAGTTGAGGTTGGGGCTATAGGCTCACCGAAGGATGGAGTATTGGTGTCTTCGACAGAGGAAGGCTTAGTTGAGGACACATCAACAGGTTCATTGCTCCTGTGAGTATTTATCTCTAAGAGTGTAAAACTTGGAGTGGCAGCTGAGAGAGTCACTGCATTGGAGGCTGTGGTTGATATGTCCATGTCCAGTGTCGCCTTTGATGTAGGAAAAGGGGAACCTTCTTGGGCAGTTGTGGTAATACCTCCCGGTGATTCAACACTGTGAGAGGTGGATAGTCTGGAGACAATTCCTGTGGGGATGTCTGGTGACATTGTGGACTGAGTAAAGGCCATGATGTTGCCAGTGGAGATGATTTCTGTCCTGAATTTCTCACCAGGAGTACCAGTGGGCACTTCTGAAAGGCCTGTCCTCTGCTCTGTGATAGATCTGGTCTGCTGGGAGCTGCTGGTTTCCTCCATGCTACTCAAGGATGATGTTGACTGTGTCTCAAACTTTGCTGTTTCTGAAAAGTCAGACATTGATGTGGAAATTGTCACATCCTTATTGGTTATAGAAATCACCATTTCAGGAGTACCAGTGACTGGTTCTGAATGAGCTGGAGCAAAGGAAAGGGTGTCATGTCTAGGGTTGGTGATACCCACATTGGTGTCAGCTGAGTTTTTGGAGAAGTGAGTCACCTCTGTATTTGTGGAGGCCTCAATAGTAGTCAGCCTCTGCACTGTGCTGCTGCTGAAATGTGGAGGTGAACTACTTGTAGAGAGTATGCTTGTGTAGTTCATGCCTGTGGTCTTCTCAGGAGTAGAAGTGAGAACTGAGGTCACAGCAGTAGGGAAGGAAGTGTCACTCTCTGATGATGTGGTGGAAACTGGAAAAGGTGAAGTCGTAGTGGATGTAGGCTCATGGAAGGATGGGGTATTGGTGCCTTCAATAGAGGAAGGCTTAGTTGAAGACACATCAGCAGGTTCGTTGCTCCTGTGAGTATTCATCTCTGAGAGTGTAAAACTCTGAGTCTCAGCTGGGTGACTCACTGTACTGGAGGCCGTGGTCGATGTGTCCATTTCTAGTGTAGCCTGTGAGGTAGCCTCAAGGGAACCTGTTTGATGAGTGCTGGCCTTCTCTGCAGTTTCTGACATAATGGTAGAGGTAGACTGTCTGGTGGTGTCTGCTGTAGGGATGTCAGATGACATTGTGGGTTGAAGAGGGCCAGGGGAGGATGGACTGTTAGAGGAGAGATCTGTGCTGAACATATCTTTACTTCCAGTTGTAAGTTCAGAAAGTACAGTGGTCCCGTGGGTGACTGACTGGGTCTTCTGGGAGCTGCTGGTCTCCTCTGTGCTACTCAAAGGAGATGCTGACTGTGTGTCAATCATTGTACTTCCAGGGGAGGTAGAAGTTGATGTGAAAGTTGTCAAATCCGTGTTGATGAAAGAAGTCACCATTGCAGGAATAGAGGGTGAAGACTCTGATGCTTCTGGGAGCGAGGAAAGGGTTTCATGTCCAGGGGTGGAGATCTCCACATTGGTCTCAGCTGTGTTTAGGGAAAGGTGAGTTGCCACTGTATTTGTGGAGGGCTCAGTAGTAGTTAGTCTCTGTACTGTGCTACTGCTGAAATGTGGAGGTGAACTTGATGTAGTGTGTACACTTGTTTTGATCATGCCTGTGGTCTTCTCAGGACTTGGAGTAAGAATTGAGGTCGCAACAGTAGGGAAGGAAGTGTCATTATCTGGTGATGTGGTGGAAAATGAAAAAGCTGAGGACATGGAATATGTAGGCTCAAGGAAGGATGGAGTACTGATGTCTTTAGCAGCAGAAGGCTTAGCTGAGGACACATCAGCAGGTTCATTGCTCCTGTGAGTATTCATCTCTGAGAGTGTAAAACTCTGAGTCTCAGCTGGGTGACTCACTGTACTGGAGGCTGTGGTCAATGTGTCCGTTTCTAATGTAGCCTGTGATGCAGCCTCAAGGGAACTTGTCTGCTGAGTGCTGGCCTTCTCTGCAGTTTCCGACATAATGGTAGAGGCAGACTGTCTGATGGCGTCTACTGTAGGGATGTCGGATGACATTGTGGGTTGAAGAGGGCCAGGGGAGGATGGACTGTTAGAGGAGAGATCTGTACTGAACATATCTTTACTGCTAGTTGTAAGTTCAGAAAGTACAGTGGTCCCGTGGGTGACTGACTGGGTCTTCTGGGAGCTGCTGGTCTCCTCTGTGCTACTCAAGGGAGATGCTGACTGTGTGTCAATCATTGTACTTCCAGGGGAGGTAGAAGTTGATGTGAAAGTTGTCAAATCCGTGTTGATGAAAGAAGTCACCATTGCAGGAATAGAGGGTGAAGACTCTGATGTTTCTGGGAGCAAGGAATGGGTTTCATGTCCAGGGGTGGAGATCTCCACATTGGTCTCAGCTGTGTTTAGGGAAAGGTGAGTTGCCACTGTTTTTGTGGAGGCCTCAGTAGCAGTCAGCATCTTCACTGTGCTATTGATGAAACGTGGAGGTGAACTGGTGCTCATCATGCCTGTCGTGTTCACAGTACTGGAACTGAGAACTGTGGTCACAGTACCAAGGGAGGAAGTACCTTTCTCTGGTAATGTGTTTGGAACTCTAAAAGGTGCTGTCGTGGTGGAAATGTCCCCAGACAAGGATGGCGTATTTGTGTCTTCCACAGAGGAATATTTGCTCCAGGACACATCAGGAGCTGTGTTCAGGTGTGTGGTCATCACTGAGAGTATTAAACTTTGAGTCTCAGCTGAGTGAGTATCTTCATAGGAGGCTGTGGTTGATGTGTCCATGTCTAGAGTAGCCTGTGATGTAGACAAAGGGGAACCAGGTTGGGTAGTAGTAGTCATACCTCCTGGTGGTCCAACAGTGTGAGAGGTGGATAGTCTGGTGACGATTCTTGTGGGCATATCTGGTGACATTGTGGAATGAGTGGAGTCCATGATGTTGCCAGTGGTTATGATTTCTATTCTTAATTTTTCACTAAGAGTCCCAGTGGGCTCTTCTGAAAGGACTGTACTCTGTTCTGTGGTTGCACTGGTCTTCTGGGAGCTGCTGGTCTCCGTGCTACTCAAGGAGGCTGTTGACTGTGCCTCATTCTTTGAAGTTCCCTGAGAATCAGATATTAATATGGAACCTGTTGAATCCCTACTGTTGAAAGATGTTACCATCCCAGGAGTACCAGTAACTGGCTCTGAATAAGCTGGAGCAGAAGAAAGAGTGGCATGTCCAGGACTGGAGATCCCCACACTGGTCTCAGCTGTGTTTTTAGAGAGCTGAGGTGCCTGTGTATTTGTGGAGGCCTCATTGGTAGTCAGTCTCTGCACTGTGCTGCTGCTGAAATGTGGAGGTGAACTACTTGTAGGGAGTATGCTTGTGCTGATCATGCCTGTGGTCTTCTCAGGCCTGGGAGTGAGAATTGAGGTCACAGCAGTAGGGAAGGAAGTGTCACTCTCTGATGATGTGGTGGAAACTGGAAAAGGTGTAGTCGTGGTGGATGTAGGCTCATGGAAGGATGGGATATTGGTGCCTTCAACAGAGGAAGGCTTAGTTGAAGACACATCAGCAGGTTCGTTGCTCCTGTGAGTATTCATCTCTGAGAGTGTAAAACTCTGAGTCTCAGCTGGGTGACTCACTGTACTGGAGGCCGTGGTCGATGTGTCCATTTCTAGTGTAGCCTGTGATGTAGCCTCAAGGAAACCTGTTTGATGAGTGCTGGCCTTCTCTGCAGTTTCTGACATAATGGTAGAGGTAGACTGTCTGGTGGTGTCTGCTGTAGGGATGTCAGATGACATTGTGGATTGAAGAGGGCCAGGGGAGGATGGACTGTTAGAGGAGAGATCTGTGCTGAACATATCTTTACTGCTAGTTGTAAGTTCAGAAAGTACAGTGGTCCCATGGGTGACTGACTGGGTCTTCTGGGAGCTGCTGGTCTCCTCTGTGCTACTCAAGGGAGATGCTGACTGTGTGTCAATCATTGTACTTCCAGGGGAGGTAGAAGTTGATGTGAAAGTTGTCAAATCCGTGTTGATGAAAGAAGTCACCATTGCAGGAATAGAGGGTGAAGACTCTGATGCTTCTGGGAGCGAGGAAAGGGTTTCATGTCCAGGGGTGGAGATCTCCACATTGGTCTCAGCTGTGTTTAGGGAAAGGTGAGTTGCCACTGTATTTGTGGAGGGCTCAGTAGTAGTTAGTCTCTGTACTGTGCTACTGCTGAAATGTGGAGGTGAACTTGATGTAGTGTGTACACTTGTTTTGATCATGCCTGTGGTCTTCTCAGGACTTGGAGTAAGAATTGAGGTCGCAACAGTAGGGAAGGAAGTGTCATTATCTGGTGATGTGGTGGAAAATGAAAAAGCTGAGGACATGGAATATGTAGGCTCAAGGAAGGATGGAGTACTGATGTCTTTAGCAGCAGAAGGCTTAGCTGAGGACACATCAGCAGGTTCGTTGCTCCTGTGAGTATTCATCTCTGAGAGTGTAAAACTCTGAGTCTCAGCTGGGTGACTCACTGTACTGGAGGCTGTGGTCAATGTGTCTGTTTCTAGTGTAAACTGTGATGCAGCCCCAGGGGAACTTGTCTGCTGAGTGCTGGCCTTTTCTGCAGTTTCCAACATAATGGTAGAGGTAGACTGTCTGATGGTGTCTACTGTAGGGATGTCGGATGACATTGTGGGTTGAAGAGGGCCAGGGGAGGATGGACTGTTAGAGGAGAGATCTGTACTGAACATATCTTTACTTCCAGTTGTAAGTTCAGAAAGTACAGTGGTCCCGTGGGTGACTGACTGGGTCTTCTGGGAGCTGCTGGTCTCCTCTGTGCTACTCAAGGGAGATGCTGACTGTGTGTCAATCATTGTACTTCCAGGGGAGGTAGAAGTTGATGTGAAAGTTGTCAAATCCGTGTTGATGAAAGAAGTCACCATTGCAGGAATAGAGGGTGAAGACTCTGATGCTTCTGGGAGCGAGGAAAGGGTTTCATGTCCAGGGGTGGAGATCTCCACATTGGTCTCAGCTGTGTTTAGGGAAAGGTGAGTTGCCACTATTTTTGTGGAGGCCTCATTAGCAGTTAGTCTCTGCACTGTGCTGTTGCTGAAATGTGGAAGTGAACTGGTTGTAGGGTGTGAGCCTGTGCTCATCATGCCTGTCATGTTCACAGTACTGGGACTGAGAACTGTGGTCACAGCACCAAGGGAGGAAGTATCTCTCTCTGGTAATGTTGTGGGAACTCTGAAAGTTGCTGTCATGGTGGAAATGTCCCCAGGCAAGGATGGAGTTTTGGTGTCTTCCACAGTTGAAATTTTGGTCCAGGCCACATCATCAGGAGCTGTGTTTGTGAGTGCTGTGACCATTGAGAGTGTAAAATTCTGGGTCTCAGCTGAAGGAGTACCTTCATGGGAGGCTTTGGTTGATATGTCCATGTCTAGTGTAACCTCTGATGTAGCCAAAGGGGAACCTAAATTAGCAGTTGTGCTAATATCTCCTGATTTTTCCTCATTGGAGTAGTTGGATAGTGTGGTGATGATTCCTGTGGGGATGTCTTGTGACATGGTAGACAGAGTGGAGTCCATGATATTGCCAGTGGTGATGACTTCTGTCTTGACCTTCTCACCAGGAGTCCCAGTGGGCACTTCTGAATGGACTGTACTCTGCCCTGTGGTTGATCTGGTCTGCTCATAGTTACTGGTCAACTCCGTGCTATTCAAGGAAACTGTGGACTGTGTCTCAATCTTAGCAGTTTCTGGAAAGTCAGACATTGATGTGGAAATTGTCATGTCCTTTTTTGTTATAGAAATCACCATTGCAGGAGTATTGGTCACTGGCTGCGAATGAGCTGGACCAGAGGAAAGGGTGTCATGTCCAAGGCTGGAGATTCCCACATCGGTCTCAGCTGTGTTTTTGGAGAGTGGAGTTGCCTCTGTATGTGTGGAGGCCTCAGCAGTGGTCAGTCTCGGCACCGTGCTGCTGCTGAAATGTGCAGGTGAACTGGTTGTAGTGTGGAAGCTTGTGCTGATCATGCCTGTGGTCTTGACAGGACGGGGATAGAGAACTGAGGTCACAGCAGTAGGGAAGGAAGTGTTACTCTCTGGTGATGTGGTGGAAACCGGAAAAGGTGAAGACATGGTGGATGTAGGTTCAAGGAAAGATGGAGTACTGGTGTTTTCTACAGAGGATGGCTTGGTCAAGGACATGTCAGGTCCTGTGCTCTTGTTAGTATTCTTCTCTGAGAGTGTAAAACTCTGAGTTGCAGCTGAATGAGACCCTTCACTGGAGGCTGAGGTTGATGTGTCCATTTCTAGTGTAGCCTGTGATATAGCCTTATGGGAACCTGTTTGGTGAGTGAAGGTCTTTTCTGCAGTTGCCAACATAATGGTAGAGATAGAACTTCTGCTGCTGACTACTGTAGGGATGTTTGATGACACTGTGGATTGAAGAGGGCCAGGGAAGGATGGACTGTTAGAGGAGAGATCTTCTGTCACAAGCATATGATTATTAGTACCAGTTGTAACGTCAGAAGGTACTGTGGTCTTGTTGGTGATTGCCTCAGTCTTCTTGGAACTGCTGGTCTCTTCAGTGCTACTCAAGGTAGATGTTGGCTGCGTGTCAATCACTGCACCTTCTGGAGAGGCAGAGGTTGATATGAAAATTGTCATATCCTTATTGGTGAATGAAGTCCCCATTGTAGATGTAGTGGGTAAAGACTCTGATTCAGCAGGGAATGAGGAATGAGTTTCATGCACAGGGTTAGAGGTCCCAACATTGGTGTCAGGTGTGTTTAGGGAAAGGTGAGTTGACTCTGTATTTCTGAAGGCCTCATAAGTGGTCTCTGTGTCCACTGTTGTGCTGATCAAATGTGGGAGTGAACTAGGTGCAGTGTGTGCGCTTGTGCTGATCATGTCTGTAGTCTTCAAAGATCTGGGAGTGAGAACTGAGGTCACAGCAGTCGGGTTGGAAATGTAACTCTGTGGTGATGTGGTAGGAACTAGAAAAGGTGATATCATGGTGGATCTAGTCCCAGGGAAGGATGGAGAATTGGTGTCTTCCATAATGGAATGCTTGGTCCAGAACACGTTATCAGGAGCTGTGCTTGTGAGTGTGGTCACCAGCGAGAGTGGAAAACTCTGAGTCTCAGCTGAGTGAGTCCCTTTATGGTAGGCTGTGGTTAATGTGTCCATGTCTAGTGTAGCCTGTGATGTAGACAAAGAGGAATGTTCTTGGGCAATTGTGGTGTTATCTCCTGGTTTTTCTATTGTGAGTGTGGTGAATAAGCTGGTATTGATTCCTGCGGGGATGTCTGGTGACATTATGGACTGAGTGGAGTCCACAGTGGTGATGACTTCTGTCCTGACCGTCTCACCAGGAGCCCCAGTAGGCTCTTCTGAAAGGACTGTACTCTGCTCTGTGATTGTTCTGGTCTGCTGGGAGCTGCTGGTCTCCTCCACTCTACTCAAGGAAGATGTTGACTGTGTCTCAATATTTGCAGTTTCCAGAGAGTCGGTCATTAATGTGGAAACTCTCATATCCTTATTGTTGAAATAAGTCACCGTTGCAGGAGTACCAGTCACTGGCTCTGAATGTGTTTCATGTACAGAGTTGGAGATCTCCACACTAGTCTCAGCTGTGTTTTTGGAGAGGTGAGTTGCCTCTGTATGTGTGGAGGCTTCAGCAGTGGTCAGTCTTGGCACTGTGCTGCTGCTGAAATGTGCAGGTGAACTGGTTGTAGTGCGGAAGCTTGTGCTGATCATGCCTGTGGTCTTGACAGGACTGGGATAGAGAACTGAGGTCACAGCAGTAGGGAAGGAAGTGTCACTTTCTGGTGATGTGGAAACTGGAAAAGATGACGTTATAATGGAAGAAGCCCCAGCGAAGGATAGAGTATTGGTGTCTTCCACAGAGGAAGGGTTGGTCCAGGATACGTCATCAGGAGCTGTGCTCCTGAGTGTGGTCACCCGAGGAAGAGAAAAACTCTGAGTCACAGCTGAGTGAGTCCCTGCACTGGAGACTGTGGCTGATGTGTCCATGTCTCCTGTAGACTGTGATGTAGCCTCAGGGGAACCTGTTTGATGAGTGATGGCCTTTTCTTCAGGATCCACCATAATGGCAGAGGTAGAATGTCTGTTGGTTACTACTGTAGATATTTCTGCTGACATTGTGGATTGAAACCAGTCAGGGAAGGATGGATTGTTTGTTGAGAGATCTTTTGTCCTGAGTATATCATTATTAGTACCAGTTTTAACATCAGAAGTTATGGTCAACTCATCAGTTACTGACTGGGCTTTCTGTGAGCTTCTGGTCTCCTCTGTGCTACTCAGGGAAGATGCTGACTGTGTGTCAATCATTGCATTATTAGGAGAGGCAGACATTGATGTGAAAATTTTTGGGTCCCTATTGGAGAAGGAAGTCACCATTGCAATAGATGGTGAAGACTCTAATTCAGCTGGAAGAGAGGGAAGGGTCTCCTGTCCAGTGGTGGAGAGACCCACATTGGTCTCCACTGTGCTTAGGAAGAGGTTAGTTGCCACTGTATTTGTGGAGGCCTCAGAAGTCGTCCCTGTGTCCACTGTGGTGCTGTTCAAAATTGGGGGTGAACTAGTTGTAGTGTGTGAACTTGTGCTGATCATGCCTGAGATCTTCACAGAGCCGGGAGTGGTAACTGAGGTCACGGCAGTTGGGAACGAAGTGTCCCTCCATGGGACATTGGTGGAACCTGGGAATGGTGTGTTCGCATGATGGTCACTCTCAGAGATGGTTGACTCATTTGTCTCTCTCAATGTGGGAGGGTCAGTCCTGGACAAAGCATCAGGACCTGTTGTTTTGGTGGTGGTCAGCTCTGAATGTGCAGGCCTCTGAGTCACTCCTGATAGAAGCCCCGCACTGCGGGCATCTGTGGATATGTCCTGATCTACTGCGTCCTCCCACGTGCTAGCCATGGGTCTTGTTTCTTTTGTGATGGTCACTGCTTCAGGTGTAACCTCCATGCTGGTTATGGAAAGTGTGTTTTTGATGCTGGTGGCAATATCTGTTGAGCTCACAGACTGAGCAGAGTCATCGATGGCTGTCCTGCTCGAGGAGCTGTCCTCTTGCCCGGGTGTCTTACTGCTAGTGCCCGGCGGCTCTTCAGAATGTGTTGTCATCTCTTTGCTCAGAAATGCCTGAGTCAATGCTGATTTGGTCTTTGCCCCGGCTTGGTTCTTGTGTCCAATATCTGTGGTTCTTGTGTCCATGACAGGTGCACTCGGGTTGTTAGTCCCACTGGGGTGTGTCTGAGTCCTGAAGGTCACAGTGCTTGATACTGGCGAGGGTAGGGAAGTTCCAGTGCTCCTGCCTGTTTCTAAGGAATTGTCCAGTGTTCTTTCTGACTGAGTAGGGAGTGGCGGAGATATTTTAACTGAGAAGGGAAACAGTGTCCCGGAGACCTCATCTGAATCTCCCGAGAACACGTCGGAGATGACAGTACTTTTTTCTCTCCTTGAGCTGTCCTCCTCATAGGTGCTACTTTCCCTCAGTCCAGGTGTCAAGGAGAATATTTGTTCTATCTCCATCTCTGTTTTCTCAGAGGTGGCTTTGGATGACTTTGAAGTGACTGGTGTGCTGTAATGGGATCTACGCCCTGTTTCTGTGTCCCCTGCGTGGGTCAGGGCTGTGTCAACTGAAGAGTGTTCTTCCTCTGTGCTTGTGGTGTCTTCAGCTGTGGCCTGTATCTTGCCTGATGGACTGCTCCAGTTGGGTGGTAAACTAGATCCAATTTCTGGGCTGGTGTCCAAAGCATCTGTGGTCTTCAGGAGGCCTGAGGTGAGGAGTGAAGTCACCGATGGAGAGGGGAAGTTACTTCCTAGTAACATGGAGGAAACCGGGGGTGATAAAGATTTTGTCAGTAAAGGTAGCAGGGAAGATGGCGTGCTGGTTCCCTCCACAAAGGGGAAGACCCTGGGTGTGGTCGTTCCTGTCTGCAGACATTGCCGATTCACAGGCGAGTCAGTCCCTAGCCAGGATGTTGTGGATTTTGCACCCAAATCCATCTTAGCCTGTGATGTAACTTCAGAACGATTTGTTTGGGCAGTGATAGTTGATTCTTCCAATTCTGTTGTGATTTGGGAAGTTGACAGCCTGGGAATGGTGTCTGTGGAGACCAGGGATGATGCTGTGGAATGAACAGACCCAGGAGAAGTGACTTCTGTCCAGGAGACCGTAGCGGTGACGCCAGTGTTCATATCAATGCTTGATGCTGTGGGGGAGCTGGTCTCCTTGGAGATAATGGTCTCACTCATTTGAGGTTTTAAGGAGAAAAAAGTCCCAGCCTCAGTCCTTGCAGCCTCAGATAAGGTAGACACTGTGGAAGCAGAGTCTGCCCTCACGGGGGAGACAGTTGTCATGGAAGATGTGGCTTGGCCAGTTTCTGCCTCTGTTGGGAGAAGGTGAGGTGATTTGTGTCCTGAATGGGTGGTCCCCACATGGGTTACTGCTATTTTTGAGAAAGGATACATTTTCTCTTTGTCTACGGTGACTTTAGAAACTGTTGGTATCTCCCCCGAGGTGAGGTTCCATCTTTGAGACAAACTAGTCCCAGTTTCCAAGCTTGGACCCATCGTGTCTGTGGTGTTCATCAGCCCAGCAGTGAGAACTGGGGTTGTGGGTTCAGGAGAGGGTGTTCTGTGCCTGGCGGGGGCAGTGCCAGGTGGTGGTGAGTAGGGAAAGCTGGTTTCTTCCACAGAGGGAAGACTTGCCCAGGACACCTCCTTGAAACCACTGCTCACATGTGTGGTCCTTTTCAAGTGGGTTAAACCCTGTGTCTCTGCCTGAGTGGTTGGGGCTGATGTGCCCAAGATAAGTGCATTCAGTTTTGTTGTTCCAGAAAGACTGATCTGCGTAGTAAAGCTTGTATGTGTTAGTATCGTCCAAGGAGCAGAAGCAGAGGGTTTATTGTTGGTTTCTGAGAAAACATCTGGGGATCTTGCTGACTGAGTAAGGGCTGACACAATTGTCTTATCAAAAAAGGGACCCTCTGTGCTGGAGACATCTGTGGCATCAGCCAGGGGCACACTGGAATGGGTAACACTCTGTGCCCCTGAGCTGTTGTCCTGATAGGTGTCTGTGGAAGGGTAAACTCCTGCACTTGTGGAGGTGCTGTCGGTAGCTCCTCTCTCACTTGTGGTATTGCTCAAAGTTGGGGGTGAGCTGGTCCCAGGTGCCAAGCTTGTGCTCAACACATGGGAGGAGGGATGCTGTCCTTGTAACGTCAACAAAGCTTGCGAAGGCGAGGGTACGGTGGAGGTAGGCGCCAGGGAAGAGGGAGCAGGGGCTTCTCCCACAGAGGAAGGGCTTGTCCGGGGCACGTCCTCAGGCCTTTCACTCACAACAAGGGTCATCTCTGAGTGTGGAAATTCCTGAGTCACAGCTGAGTGAGTCCCTGCCAAGGGGGACGTGGCTGAGGTGTCCAAGGTAAGTGGACGCAGTGATGTTGCCCCAGGAGGGCCTGTTCGCCTGTGTATGTTAATTCCTCCAGATTCTTCCGTGGTCATGTCTGATGACCTTGTGGCCTGAGCAGGGTCTAGTCTGGAGAGTCTGCCGGAGGTGGTGGCTTCTGTCCCGGAACCCTCAGTAATAGCAGCAGAGCTTGGGGAAGGGACGATGCTGGTCTCTGTGGTTGAGTCAGAATTTATGGAACTGCTGGACTCCCTCAGGTCAGTGCTCAGGGGAGAAGAAAGCTCTGTCCTGGTCCCCGTGGATTCTGGCCACACGGTCGTTGATGTGGAAACAGTTGTCACGATGGTGGAGTTGGTAGTCACAGGCGATGTGGCCCCGAATGGCCCCACGTGGGCTGGGAGAGGCTTGCGTTCAGAAGCTCTCACCCATGGTGTGGTCCCTGCTCTGTTTCTAGAAGAAGGAGTCGCCCCTTTTTCTGTGGTGGGCTTGGTAGTGCCTCCTCCCTGGTGGGTGCTGTTTTCCCAACTTGAAGATAAAGTTGTCCCAGATTCTACGTCTGTACCTGGGGGCCGGGCAGCCCGACTGGGCTCTCCTGAAGCAGACGGCACCATTAGCGTGTACAGGGAGGTGCCTGAGGCCGACTCTTGCTCTGCAGTCCAGGAACCAGAAGCGGCTCCCGCCTGTGTTGAGGGAGTCCTCGGCCCTTGCTCCTGGGCTGCTGGCTCTGGGCTTCTTCCTCCGTGCGGGCTCACACCCAGAGTTGCTGCTTCTGGCCCAGACATGTCCCCTGGCTCTGCAGACATTGGGGTGGGAAGCTGGGGAGAGCTCTGCCCCGCTTCTGTGCTGCCAAGATCTGGCTTCCCTGATAAAGTCACTGTAGAGCTGCTTACCGCTGCGGCAGACGTGACCCCACTTGCGACGTCCCCCATGGATAACGGCGGTTGTGAGGTAGCCGGACTGATTTTGTTCTCCATGGGGAGCTTTTGAGGAGTTGTGTCCCCCTGAGGAGCTGAGGTAGTGGTGGGGGGGAATGACACAGGTCCCCCGGTGCCCCGGTGAGGACTGGACAGAGCGTCATACAGAGGAGAGGGTGGGGAGCCGTTTGGGCCAGGCTCTGCAGGTGGAGTGTGAGTAGAAGAGGTTGGAACAGGCGCGGCTTCCACGTCTCGTCTGCTGGAAGTCTGACTTCCACTTAAAATGTCAGGGCCGGAGGCGCTCGTCCCCCTGATGCCAGGAGAGTGAGTCCTGGAGGAAGGCAAATGTGCAGCCGTGGCTGAAGGGCTCGGCGTTCTCACCCTTGTGCTGTCTGTCATCTCCTCAGCAGAAGCGCGTGAGGGTGACCTGGCCAGGCTGCTCCCCACGGCAGCTGTGATGCCTTGGGGCACAGAGAGAGAGCCGGGCTCAGTGCTCGGTGCCAAGGCTGCAGTTGTGCCCACTGCAGAGACAGCTGCAGGGGAACCTGTGACCTCCAAGACTGCAGCCTCATCTGTGCTAGTCCCGGGGTTCCAGGTTGGGGCAGGGACAGCTGTGGGTGACAAGGGGGGAGGGTGCACTGGGGCAGACACACCCCTTGCTAGCTTGGGCACAGATGCTGGGACTGAGCTGATTCCCTCGGAGCTGGTGGAGCTGATGACGCCAGGAGTGGAGACGGTGGTTACATGTGCAATTCCTACCTCTGCAGCAGCTGAAGCCCAAGATAGCTGCCCGGGAGCAGAGGCAGCACCCCTGGTCACATCTGTGACACCCCCCAAACTCCCAGACCCCTCTGACAGGGATGTAATAGGTGGGAAAGTGCTCGTTTTTCTTCCCAGACCATCGTCGAGGCTGAGTGTGGCTTGACTTTTAGAGGTCAGAGGTGCTGATGTGGTTTGTTCTCTGGAGGTTACACTCAATGTTTCTGTGGCCTCATGGGAGGCCTCTAGTGTCAGGTCACTCCCAGCTCCTTGCTCTGACCTGGGGCCAGCAGATGAGAAAGCCTGGCCCTGTTGTTCAATTGCCATTGCTTTTTCATCTGGGACAGTGGACAGGATGACTGTGGGGCTGGCCGGCAGCTCAGCCATGAGTTCAGATTTATCTGCTATGGACCGCGTGGCTTCCTTCCGAATTGCCACAGACTCTGGAATGGTCGCAGTGTCAGCAGTGCCAGTGGAAGCTGTACTCAAAGAAACCTGTGTGTCCACTGTAGCCCCTCTGGTGGAGCCAAGCCACGTGGAGAAACTTATTCCGGTTGTTTCTGGAATCACAGCTGAGCTGCTTTCCTGACCAGTCCCTGTGGCACCTTTAGGAGTTGTCTCTAGGAAGACAGAGGACACCACACCTGAGGACTCGGTGGTCCTTTCTGTAGTCCCAGAATAGGGGCTGGCCTGAGCCTCCGGGAGAAAGACTGAGGTCCTCTCTGTGGCTGCTGTCTTCTCTGGTGTGACTGGTGCTGACCCTCCTGGGGACAGGTATGGGAGGCTGCCGCTCCCCGTGACCGTGGCATGAAGGGAAGCCGGCGCCACAGTGGTCTTCATGGGGACAGTTGCGGTTGGAGTCTCCCAAGAGTATCTCACAGTGTGCCTGGACTCGGGGTTGGTGCTGGGCTCCTTGGAGCTCATGAGTGTGAGAGCTGTGTCCATTTCTGAGCTTCTTGTGGGCAGGCCTGTGATTAAAAATTGAGTTGGTAGAAGATATGCAAATGGCAGAGAAGGGGATTCCTTCTGGCTGACAGTATGGGGTTTTGACTTAAACTATTTCCTTCTTCCCCAGAAAGGAAAATGTTAACTCTTCCACATGGCATTTCAAGCCTCTGGACACCAAGAAACACATTAGCCAGCCCCAGGGACACTCTGAGGTGAGAGGTTTGACCCATCTTGTCTGCTCAGGAGAAATTGTCCCTGGGAGTTCAGTCTCTCCAAGCCTGTAAAAAGGGCTCTTTGTGCAAGAGGGAACGTGATCAACCTGGGCCTGACCCGTGCGGGAGGCTTTCTTTCCTTACCCTGTCTTCACTTTTCTTCTTGGAGCCTGCCCTTATGGAACCAGTTTCAGCTTATAACTTCCAATCTACTCTAGACCCCCCAAGTCTTGTGAGCAAAGAATCACTGCAAAGTCACTTAGGAGTAAAGAAGTGTAGAAAGAGTAGAAGGGGGATGAGATTATTCTTCTTCTTTTACCTTCATCATCTTTCAAATACAACTCCCTCTCTGAACCCATTCTCTGTCCTTGAGGAAAAGAACTTCTAAGTGCCACTGGGATCAGGAAAGCTAGACCCTCCAGGGGAGTCTTCTTGGGGGTCACATTTTCATATCTTCTCACCAACTTGGCTTAGCCAAGGATGATGATCCCTCCTTCTGCTGTAGCAAAGAATCTTATATCATCTCAAGTCTTGCCTGTGCCTCTATCACAATACAAGTCTCAGAGATGGTCTCTGATGTGGAAAGATCCTTCACCCTGGGTTATGGGAGGTAGGGATGTAACTGTCTCTATGGCACTTTTGTCTGTAGAATTGATTGTCTGATAATCATATAAATGATGAAGTTGAGGAACAAACATGTTCAGTCAATAAAAGCTCTAGGAAAAAATAATTAACATCCTCAGAGAAGAGTGCCAAGAAGTCAAAAAACCTACCTCAAACCTAGTCATTTTGCTTTTTTTAGGTAATCCAGCTTTTGACCCAGAGACAAGCAGAAAAGGCCCATAAAGCTCACACTTACCCAAACTGGTCAGAACCACAACAGATCTGGGGCTACTGGTTGACCACGTGGTGGTTCTGTGTTCTCCGTGACTTGGCTCCATGGTGCTGGCTGCCGCAGACGCGTCAGGCCCTGAAAGAGAAGGAGAAGGAGGCCTTATTCTCGCATCTGCTCAGAATACGGGTTGAGGAAAATTCTCAGCAGACACTGGTTTACAATTTCCTCATTTGTCTCTGTGAAAAAATGTAAAGAATAACTGCCTTTTAATTTTTTTTTAAATTTACATATATTTTACATCATTGTTCATTTTTAAACAATGTTTGTTTCCCCCCCACTCCCTCAGGTGTAGTCCCCATAGAGTTTCCTTCCCCACTGCACCCATGCACCATCACCTCAGTCCCTTGTGCTCCTCCCTCCCTCCCTCTGATCCCTCTCCCTCCTCCTCCCGTGCAGGATGTCTCTGGTTTATAACTGTCTGTTTTTGTTTTGTTTTATATTGTTATTATTTTCCCCCGATGTCTTATTTGGTTCCCCTATATTCCTCCTATAAGGAATAACAGCCTTTTAAACATTAACTCAAATCCTCACAATAGTCACAATAGCAGGAAAGGTGCTTGCTGATCGTGGGGTCCGCCGGCTTAGTCAACCATGAGCACATGATATTCAGATAACCACAGTCTACACAGCACCAGGAAAATATTCCTCACTATTTTATTTTTGTGCATTTTGAAATATTCATATTCAAAATGATTTAATATATCAAATTATTGCAATTATTGAGGAATCTGGCAACTGATTAAACACCTATGTGTAGCAAGTTCTAGCAAACTTTCTAACACGAACCAACACCTACCCTACTCAAGTCTTTCAGAAAATCAAGAAAGAAGGAATACCTCAAATACAGTGCACGAGGCCAACATGCCAGTATGAAACACACAAAAAGAAAACTATATACTAATTACCCCAGTGAATACAGATGCAAAAAGTACTCAATAAAGTCTTAGCAAACCAAATCCAACAATGCATTAAGGGGATTATATGTCACAACCAAGTGGGATTTATGGGGACACAGGATGGTTCCATATTTGAAAACCAATCAGTGTCATTCACCACGTCGACAAAAAAGACAAAAAACCATATCAATAGGTGCCAAGAAAGCATTTGATAAAATTCCGTATCTATGTATGATGAAAACCCTTGAAAAATTGGCCACAGCTGGGATCTCAGTGGTGAAGGATTGAAAGCCTTTCCATTAAGATCTGATACAGGACAAGGAGGCCACCTCACCACAGTATTAGAAGTCCCAGCTGGAGCAATTAAACAAGGGAAAGCTATAAAAGGAACCCAAACTGGGAAGGAAGAAGTAAAGCTATCATGATTTGAAGATGACATGGTGAGAGAGAGCTAGAGAGCGAGAGAAAGAGAGAGAGAGAGAGAGAGAGAACTCTAAAGACTCCACTGAAGAACTAATTAAAACAACAAAGCAGTTCAGCAGGGGGTGGGCGGAGGGAGGACATGGGGTGTAGCTCTGAGGGCAATCGCTGTTCCTTCTTCAGTAACTCTGCCCACTGGCTACTGGTCTGCTCCCTGGACCTTGGGTAATGGATAGAGCAGAGGTCCTTATTGTCTGTGGATGCTGCTGGACAGGTCTGTGACAGGACTGCCTGGTTGTTTGGAAAATGGAAGCAGGAAGTGGAACTGGAGTTCCTGTTTGTCTCTGGATGGAGAGGTAAGTCCTTCCCCTCCTGAGAAAATCAGAGTGTAATCGCACTGTGACTCAGCTCAGTCTTCCATCTGTTAAAATTGTATTTATTATTTTAGAAAGTATGATGACTACAATGAGGCGTCTAGGTTTAGCAGGTTGATGTTTCTGTGTGCAAGATCACATTTAATATATGCTGATCTCAACCCAAACAGGAGCCCCCGCCATGTTCCCTGCTCCTTCTCCCTCCCTGTCCCTATTTACCAAGTACCCCTGGCTCCTCCTCCCTCATCTGAAAACAGTGGTCTTTGGATATAATTTCTAAAATTAAAAAATCCTCTTTTTATATTTTCCATTTTGGAGGTTCCTGTTTGACCTTGAGAGAGAAGCTAAGGTCAAGGAAAATCAGGTTATAGGAAGGTGGGTCAGTCTCTAAGAGAGAATAGCTCTCTTTACGGAAGAGCCTCTGGGACAGAGTTAATTTAACTTTCCCCCGATATCACACCCTGCAAGATGGTTACTCTCTCCCAGCCCAGGACCATTCCAGGAACCAGCGACTACTCTTCATGAATTCTTATCTCAGTCATCATTAAGAACTATCTATTACTGAAAATTTCCTGAATATGGGATGGTTTCTATGTTCTTGCAGATACTGAGTTCTAATACTGAAGATACAGGGCAGAGAGACCGACATTTTATGAGAGATCCATGTGTCCCAACTTCTCAGGCTATTCCAGCAAAGGGATAATTTAGCAGTGATCAGAAGACAAGATTCCTACAGAGACAAGCTCAGGAGACAGTGAGGTGAAGTGGACATACCTGCAGACACCGTCATAGGGGTTGGCAGGTCACTGTTCAGCCATGGGGGGCTTCCAGATGTGGGGAGCTTAGGGGGCACCACAGTTCCATTGGTACCTGCAGATGAGACGGATGGATTGGACTGATACTGATTGATTGATCAATTTAGCAGACAGCCATGGGGTGCATCAACATGGACACAGTTTTGAAACAAAGACACTTATTTACAAGGAGGAGCTATTCAAAGGCTGGAGACAGGAGCAGGCATGCTGCCGATGATTTGAGCTCCAACTTGCTCAGGAACCGAGCCGTGAATAAGCGTGGGAAAATGAGGTATCCACAGGCAGGAAGGGACCCTTGTGTCTCTCTTTTTTTTTTTATTTTAAAGATTTATTTATTTATTTATACAAGCACTGGGTACAGTCAGAAGCACGGGAGGGTGAGAGAATTCACCAGAGCCAGAGCAGAGAGCAGAGCAGGCAGACTGACAAAGTACACTGCTGAGGGGAGCAGCGGGCGGCAGGAGAGGTCTGCACGCCACGTGGGACCCTCGCTGGTGGCCCGGGATCGAACCAGTGCTGCAGAGGCTGCGGGCAGCTTTGCAACCCAGCGCTTAACTGCTGCGCTACCGGGGAGGCCCCCTTCTCCCTCTTTAACCCCAGCTTTAACAGAACCTACATAGCGTCTGGAGGTGACCGGGCATTAAAGTTCTGGTCTAGTCCACAGAGAGTGGACTCGTCACAGCGGGATTTAAGTGATGCAGATGACCGCGTAGGTGACTGGAAATCAGATACCCTAACAGGACACGGTGGAGGCAAATAGCAGGAAAATAGCACATGCAGGAAAAATCGCCAGGTCCCTGATGTGAAGGTGTTCGTTTCATAAATACTGATGGCTGAGGTGATAGGTCAGCCATCTTCCGGAGAAGGGTGCTCAGAAGCCAGCGTCCTAGCAAGGAGTGAAGAGGACTTGGAATTAACCCTAACAATGGGACAGAAATGCCGTTTTCAGTGGCGCGAACAGGAAGACTTCTAGGAAGGACCTGGGGGCTGAGGAGTTTCTGCTCAGAAGGAAATCTTGTTCACGGCAGAAGGAACAACAGATGCAAAGACTCTTGGCCCCGAGGCTAGGATAAACTTGACCCACTCAGGGCTGCACGGAGCCGGCATGGCCATGGGTGAGCCGTCAGGACCGAAGAATGAAGTGAGACCCGCCGGGTGGTCTGGGACCACAGCAAGGTGAGAAACGGTAGATGTTCTCTAAGGGCAATGGGTGGTCACGGGAGTGTTTGAAGCCAAGGGCAAGGTTGTGGCCAGTTGATATTTTCAAAAGATAATTCTGCCCGAAAGCAAGGAAGCGCTCAAGTCTAACCAGAGGGTGTAAGAGACATAAAAGCACAGTACACAGTACAGTGGGTAGCCAGTAACATTGCACTGCATATTTGAAAGTTTCCCAGAAAATAAATCTTGAAATTTGTCTTCCCAAGAAGAAAGTTCTGTAAGTTTCTATGGTGACAACTGGTAACTACTTATCGTGGTGATCATTTTGTAATGATCACCAGCATAAAAATATTGAATCATTCTGTTGTACACCTGAAGCCAGTGCATTATTATATGTCAATGATAGATTATGTTATATTTTATGTTATATTATATTACATGACACTATATTAATTATATTACATTATATAAAATCCTCATGAACAGAGGTCACGCTGCATCAACCCACTCCTCCACCCAACCCTCGCTGGGCATCCGATGACGAGAGGGCAAAGATGCTGTCACGTCATGCAGGGGCCCTCGGAGGCCAGTTGGGGACATTCTGATCATCAGAAAGAATAAGGACGACAATTTATTGTAACACACTGAAAAAGTTAAAAATCCACAGAGTGATGGCACTGAAGTCATTTAGAGTCTTGGAATGTCTGGGCCCCTGGGGCAAGGAGGGGGGGAGCAGGGAAGTGGGCAGGGGGCGTGGAGTAGGGGTGGCTCCCCGGCTCTGGACCTGTTTTTTATTGCTCTGTGGGGACAGGGAGACTCAGAGAGGGGCGTGTCCGGCCCAAGGACACAGCCTGTCAGCAAAGCACTGAGAATCCTTTTCAGCTCTGCTTAGGAAGTGAGGGCCTCTCCAGCACTCTCCAGTCAAAGACCCTTCAGGGGCCTCCCTGGTGGCACAAGGGGTTAAGACTCAACCTGTGAGGCTCTCTGCAGCCTCTACAGCAGGTATTCCATCCCCCACTGGGGAGCCACCCACGTGGTGCAGCAGACCCCTCCTGTCTCCCCGCTGCTCCCCTCAGCAGTGGATTTCAGTCAGTCTGCCTGTTCTGTTCCCCGCAATGTCTCTGGTGAATCCTCTCGCCCTCCATACCCCTGGCCTGTACCCCAGTTCTTATATACATAAATAAATAAATCTTTAAAAAAAATTTAAAAAGACCCTGCAGGGTGTGTGGCTGGTTCCAGAGGAATCCCTGGCCTGAGTGATGGCTTGAGGCAGTGGAGAGGGTGTCACCTCGCTCGCCCTGGGTAGAAGCAAGGGTCTGCTGGGTGAGAACAACCTCCAGCACCTGACCCTGAGTGAGTCTGGGGAAAGACCTTTAAACAGTCTGTTTCGAGGAACTTTGGGGCTAACTCAGGGGACACGCCCCTCTGAGGTGGTAGGCCAGGGCTGTGCAAACCCGCCCACCATTCAAGCAGTTTGTGGAGCCTCACAATGGCTTCTAACCGCAGAGCTACCTGCTCCCCTGCCCCCCACTGGGGGCCCATGCCAGCTCAGAGACTGAGGGCGGGGCATGCTCTCCCCTGCTCTGGGGGCACACCCCGCTGAGGCAGGGAGCAGCAAGGCGGCAAGCCTTTCCCGCAGGAGGGGTGAGTGAACAGATACTCGGGCACCTGGTACATCCTACATGCCTCTCCTACATGCCTCGGTTCGTCCTGGGCACCAGAGGTGTGTGGCTGAGAAGCCCTGACGGCCTGCTCAAGGAGGCAGCGGGGGTGAAACAGCCCTGGCCGCACTTGGAGAACCCCAGCATCTTGCGTGCTGAGCCTGGCCCTGCCCCTAGCACAGACACACCGAGCTGGGTTCTGTCTCCCTGGGGCCTGCTCTGGGCAGCAAGGCCTAAACTGACCTACAGATGACCAAAAGATCTGCAGTCCCCCTTTGGGCCCAAGAATATACCTCCATAGACCTCCACTGACACCCACAGGTGTGGTTCTGCTCCCCGCCCTGCCCCCTGCGCCCCTGCCTTGCAGCTCAGTGTGCTCTCATCACACAAGTCCCCAAAGGCACTTGCAGTCCCTGCCACCACCTTAGCCCTCCCTCTTCTCCCTGCCAAGAGTGCCCCTACCCTCTACACCCATCCTGTCTGTAGACATCCCTGCGAACCCCCAGGCCACTCTATAGCTTAAGCAAACACCTCTTTATTCAGCACCCCCAAGACAGCTCAGCCTTGCACCCTGTGCGACTGGCACCCCCCAACCTTGCCTGCCAGCCCGGAGCCCCTGGAGCCCAGGACAGACTCACCCATACCCACCTGGGCACAGGTGCTAGAGCAGAGGCTGAGTAACCCCCGGGAACGAATGTGAGTGACCAGTGGTACCTGGGTCTCCTCACTGAGCCCAGCCCACATCTGGTTCACAGCGAAGGGGTTGTGTGAACTCACCCAAGCCGGGATGAAAGATACAACCCACATGAAGCAGGTCTTTGCCAGAAAGCAAATACCTCGCAACCCCACCGACGGCGGCCAAAGCCCGAGGCACCTGTTGCCTCTGCCCCTCTCCGGCCACCTGTGTCACTGCTCAGCTGACCCCAACTCGCCCTGCTTACCTGGCTCACAGGTGAGGAGGAGACTGGCAGCCAGAGCCAGCAGGTGCTTCCACCGGGGCCCCGGGTGCCCGGGGCCCTCCCAGCCCATCCTCCTGCTCCTCACCCCTCAGTGAGCCCTGGCAACTGAGCCCAGCCCGCAGGCTCTGGCTCTGGGAAGGGGTGAGGACACGCCTTGCTGAGCTTCCTAAGAGGGGCAGGGCCTGCCCTGGGGGAAACAGCGGTGCCACCTCTCCCGAAGGTCAGCTGGCATTGTTCAGCGCCCGGGCAGTGACCAACACCTGCATGGATCCCCTCTGTGGGGAGGCCTTGAGGGTGTCCCCACCCACTAGGCACCGCCCGGCTCTGGTGTTCTGGCTGAAGCGAGGGACACTGTAGCCTTGTCTGGTTTTCCTGTTCTTTGAAGACACCCGTTTCTACCTGACACCTTCCCGCTGGGGGCTGGCACTGCCAGACAGGAGCGGGTAGGCCCTCCCTGGGCAGGCACAGCTGACTCCGAGGGTTTTGGAATGTGTGGGAGCGAGGCTGCTTCCAGAGGGCAACTCTGGCTGCCAGACAAGCGGGGCACCGCCTGCCGTAGCTTCCAGGAGCCCCCAGAGCCACCCACCACCTCTATGCCCCCACAAGTTCACTCCAGGGGCTGCCGCAGCCTCTGGCTCCCTGACCAAGCCCCTCAGCTGCCCCCAGAGCATGTGAGTGCTGGGTGCCAGCAGGGACAGGGGACTCTCCCTCTTCTCGGCAGCCACACGGCACCCCAGCCTGGCCACGCCAGACGGGGCTGTTACAACTGCTATGGAAATGCCTCTGCCCTGCCCTCAGCCAGCAGAGATCACGGGGCAACCCCTCCCTGCCCCATGATCAATCTCCAGGCTCTCAACCCCACCTTCCCTGGCGCCCGCCCAGGCCTCCAGTGCTGACACTGAGGCTTGTCTTTCCGCCCAGGGAGGCACACGCAGTGCCCCACTAGTGTGAGGGCGGCAGGCAGGGGACATCCCGGGGCCTCCCACCTCTCCTGTGCCTTATACCTGGAGTGACTCGATGGACCTGCAGTCGTGACAGAAACCCCCAGTCCTTCCATGCTCAACGCAACTTTCTGCTGGCCTCTTTCTCTCTCTGCTTGCCACCGTCCCTTTCATTCACGCTCAAGACAGACAGAAGCTGGTCAAGACAGACACATGGACAAGTGCAGGTGGTGGGGCTGGGGTGGCTGAAGCCCAGAGGTTAGTGGGAGACGCCAGACCCAGACTGAGAGAGGCAGGGAACACGGAAGGCTTCCTGAAGGAGGTGTCAGGTACCCCAAGATCTGAAGGATGAGTTGGAGTCAGCAGGGCCAGGGAAAATGGGGAGAGGAAAAGTGAGTGTTCTGGGACAAAGACACAGCATTGCAAAGGCTGGGGGCAGCACCTCCCTTTCTTAAGAAAATAATCACAGAGAAACACAGCCCAGGCTGTTGGGTCCTGTGGGGGACCCCCTACATTCAACTCCTCCCACTGCCCAGAGGGACAAATGTGGCCCCAGAAAAGCATCAGAATCTGAAAGATCAGCCCCCAGGCCCCAGGGGTCCCCAAACTCTTCCTGCTTCAGCAGTTCAAATCCTTGATTCTCTAGGACTTCACAACAAGTAGCCTCCGTGGGGTCCGGGCTTAGGTGTTGCCCTGTTCCTCTGCGTGGCATACAGGGCTAATGGGCTTAAGCTCCTGAAGGGCAAGCCCGGCCACTGTGTGTTGAAGACCTACTAAGCGCTTGCCTACAACGCACACGTGAAGTGGCAGCTGGCCTCCTCACAGCCCCCCACATGGCCCACGGCGTGTGCCCCACACCCCTGCAGAGCAGAGCTAAGTTTCAAGCTCAGCTCAGATCTAGAATGCTGAGCCCCCAGGGGTAGTTTTCTCTCCCAGAGGACACCTGACCATCTCGGGGGCCATGTTCATGGTCACGATGGGCTGCTGTCAGCATCTGGACAGGGTGCTGCAGAGGTCCACCGAGCAGGGCACTCCCGCTGTGACGCTGAGGTCCCCGCCCCAGCGTCACCAGTGCCAGAGACAGGCAAGCCTGGCCCGCCGACTGGCCAGACCCCTGGGACACAGACACGCTCCCTCTCTGCGCCCCAACAGGCCCACATTTGGCCACGGAACACTGGGGAAACGGCTGATGTGACTGTGGACTCCAATTTTAATTTTCTGTAATCTTAATTAAAAAGAATCAGTATTTGGGTCTGTGATTAGAAACCTTGAGAGCAGGTTTGGAATGACTGAGGATGTACTTTTTCAGCTGAGGGCTAAGTGGAGCTCAGGCAGCTGGCGCCCAGATTGGGTGGTGCTATGACACTTAAGATGCACACTGGACTTAGAAGATATAAGGAAAAGAATGTAAATTGTCTCCTTAGGAATTTTATATGGATTACTTATGGAAATAATAAATAGTTGACTATAACGAGTTAATCATGTAATAAATATAATAATAAAAAATGATTACAATTAACTGCCCCAGGTTTTTTTACTCTTAACAGCTAATAAAAAATCTACTATTCCATATGTGACTTGGGGTCTCATTTTATTAGGTAATGCTGGTTTGGGAGCTGAGTATTTCACGTTGTAAATAACATTATTTAAGATATGTTACTGTTTAATCACAATAATTTCTTTAAAGATTTATTTACTTATGCATACAAGAACTGGGGCACAGGGCAGAAGTGTGGGGGGGAGGTGAGAGGATTTACCAGAGACAGAGTGGGGAACAGAGCAGGGAGATCCACTGAAATACTGAGGTGAGCAGCAGGGAGTCAGGAGAGGTCTGCTGCGCCATGTGGGTCAGCTCCCTGGCCGGGGATTGAACTCGTGCCACCGTGGCTGCGGGTAGCTTCATAGTGCTGAGACTTGACCCCAATTGCAGTAATCTTAATGACAGCTACCTTTGCCTCTCTCCAGTCTGTCTCCCCAAGTCTGGGGACAGGGATGGCATGGAATCCATGCTCCCCTCTCTTCTGCTGGTGCTCTGGAATTAGGGTTCCCAGAGAGCGCTAGGGGCTCCCCTCTCAGGAACCTGCCTGCCCTCCTGGGTGCAGGCAGAGAACGGGTATGCTGGAGAAGCAACGCTGGGGCTGAGCAGACAGAGGGGGAGAAGGAGCAGCAGGGCCAGAGGGCAAGGTGGCGGACACCTGCAGTGTCACCAACACCTGGGGGAGAGTGGGGTGCATGGAGAAGTGAGAGCAAATGTTACTTGGAAAGGGGCAGAGGTGGAGGAAGGGAAGGAGAGGGCGTCCCGAAAGGCGGGTTCTGTGCAGGGGCAAGGCGCGTCACAGACTCAGAGGCGCAGGGGGAATGAGACCAGGGCTGGAGGGAGTCTGAATCCAAACCTGTGCACAGGCCAGCAGTGACGGGGACCATCCTAGCAATGTCCACTGAGCACGTGTCCCATGCTGGGCATCTGGGTGGCGGGGAGAAGGGCTCCAGGAGCTGAGGGCACGGCCATTAAGTCATAGCACCAACAGGCAGCCTCATTCCCGGTTGCCCTCCACAGACCTTCGTGATTTGTTTGATTCTCATGGCTTCCCACACATTCATCACACATGCCACAGAGGAAGAAATTGAGGCACATAGAAGTTGTATGACTCACATGAGGCCACACGGGGAGGCACTGTATGTTTCCCTTCTTGATATGTGCAAGAGCAGGCAGGACTAAGGGGTGGGATGAAAGTCAAAATAATGTTCTGTGGGTGCAAAAGGTGTAAGAGGGAAACTTCTAGAGGAGCAGTTCTCAACCAGGGTCCATTGTGCCCCCACCCCCAATAGTGGGGACAATTGATCATCCCTACAAACATTTTTAGATGTCAGAACTGCAAGTATTGGGCCTCCCTGGTGGTGCAAGGGTTAAGTTTCAGCGCTATCCACAGCCACTCAGCATGAGTTCAATCCCCAGCCAGGAGCAACCCATATGGCTGCAGACCTCTCCTGTCTCCCCTCAGCAGTGTATTTCAGTCAGTCTGCCTGTTCTGCTCCCCACTTTGTCTCTGGTGAATCCTCTCATCCCCACCACCTTTGCCCTGTACCCCAGTTCTTGTATGCATAAGTAAATAAATCTTTAAAAAAAAACTGCAAGAATTATCAAATAGGACATAGGGACGGACATACGCCTTCATGAAAGAAACTCAGTGTCACCAGCCATATGGGAATGGAAGACCTGGTGACTCTGTAAATCACTGCAGCCACTATGGTAAGCAGTGTGGAGATCCCTGAAAAAATTAAACATAGAACTACTGCATGATCCAGCAATGTCATTGCAAAAGTGAAGACATAGTTTTTTACAATAGCCAAGGCATCAAAGCAACCCAAGTGTCCACAGACAAATGAATGGATAAAGATGTAGTCAATAGACATACGGGATATTATGCAGCCGTAAAAAAGAAAGAAATCCTATCCCTGCAACAAAGACATGGACCTTGAGGGTGTCGTGCTAGGTTACAGATATGTCAGACAGAGAGACAAATGCTGTGTGGTCTCACATGTGGAATCTTAAAAAATCGTACTTTATTTGCAGAGAGCAAATTGGTGGTTACCAGAGGCAGGGAGTGGGGGTTGCTGGGGAAATGGGTGAAGGAGGTCAAAAGAAAAATAGAAACGCGAGAAGTGTCCAGGTTACCTGCATCGAGTGGACAGGGGCCAATTGTCCCACCCCAAATGTCAACAGGCCGAGAGCCCTGCCCAGGGGAGAGGACGTGCTATACCTTGAGTTGTGTGGAGGTTACACATGTGAAAAATTCATTGTCATACAGTTAAGATGAGCAGACTTTGGGTGCATCACTGGGTGCGTATTACACTCTGATACCTGCTTTTTTCTAATCAACTTGAAATTTATGAAATATTATTGCACAACAGTCTATCTGTGGATATAATGTTTTTTGCACTTAACCAAAGACAACACCTGCATCACTGGACTCACCGCCTCCCTGCCAGCTCTGCTCCAAGTCATTTTCTACAGTTCACCTCTTCAAAGCCCTCCAAAGCCCTCACACTGTAGCTTGAGAAAAATCCAAATTTCCCACCATGACCTTCAAGGCCCTCAGGTCTGGCTCCAGCCACCTCTCAGTTTTCTTCTGCCCCCGCCTTCATGCCTCTCTCCGCTCTCCCACTCTGGTCTCCTTTCTGAAATGG